AAATGTATTGCCGAAAGCGCTCGGATAAAAAGAACAATTGGACAGTTTTTATATAATTTATCTTCCGAAAACAAAAAATATTAGATCACATGAGAAATTGTATAAAAAACTAATCCAAACCACCTTGTCTGTCATATTCAGTGAAATGTATATGAAAGAAGGTTGCTGCCCAACAAATACATACATATATATATATATATATATATATATATATATATATATATATATATATATATATATAAGTAATGAATATTGAAGTCAACACTCAGAGGTGACAGGCTCTTTCATGCTGGACGCAAACGGCCTGACGATGGCGTCCAGCATGAAACAGCTTGTCGCCTCTGAGTGTTGACTTCTATGTTCACTTTTATATTTACATACACTCTATCACTGATATTGAGCACTTTATCCCATAAATATTGCACACCTTAAAACTATATTTCTTCATATATATATATATGTGTGTGTGTGTGTGTGTGTTTGGGCACCAAATATACTTATATATATATATATATATATATATATATATATATATATATGACAGAGCAGAATGTTGCCCAGAAACTGAGAAATATTTCAGACATTAATTTTAGGGTAGTGTCTATAATAATTGCCACAGTCTGAGGCGAGATTAGAGTAATTAGAGATTCGGATAAATGCTGATAGTATCATGTTTACGCCTGTGCTGGAGTTGGCGATATAAATTAAAGTGACGAGATTTTGAACGAGACTTGCTGTCACCCGTTCCCCAGTGACAACCATGAAACACCTGGCGAAAATATGTAAACGCGGGAAATATTAGCAATAATAGATTTAGAATAGAGTCAGGCGGGTGGAAATGAATGTCATTGTTCGAGGTATTCATGTTGGATTAATCTTACAACTCTGTCATGAATTCACATTCATCATATCACGAATACATATTTATTCTTGACGGGGATATATTTCAGCTTTTCTGTCAGGAAGCGCCTTCCTTTTCATCAGTGAAGATAGCTAAATGCTTACATTGAATACTATCTGGGTTGACGGCCACGCCTTCTGAAATGCTACTACACGTCATTTCAGTGGCAAATATTCTATTGAAAATCTTACTATTTAGTCGCAAATATACGCTCGATTACTGCCTACACAGCGTGAGTGACACGGCAGCTTTTCACCAATTCAGTTGTCTCCCTTATTCACGGTTTCACTCACTAATGGTAAACCATAGGAACAAAGTACTTTTTACTTAAACGTCCACTTTTATGCGCCGTGACCTTTCAGGGCGTGGACGATCGTGTCCGTTTCTCTTGTCTTTCGAAGCTCTAAGTGATGTATATCTCCTTATTATGCCTGTTCTGTCATCCATTTACACAAACTCGTTACGTAGTTTACTCGACGTTTGTCTCTAATATGTCCTATGAGTATTAAATTCTTCAAGCCCTCTTTCCTCATTATGTATCCCAGAAATTCCAACTGTCTATTTTTGATTCTACGTACAAGTGTTCTTTTTGTTTCCCCTTTCCTTAAAACTTCCTTATTGTTCACATGTTATTTACATTTTATTCTCATCATCCTTCTGTAGAACCACATCTCTGTTGCCATACGTATCCACTTCATCTATGAAGAAATTGCTCAGCACTGACTTCTTCATAATTGTCTTAAAGCATAACTTATGCTAGCAATTCAGATGTGCCAAAAAGATACTGTAAAATGCTTGTTAAATGAGGAAAGTTCTCGTTTTTATAAGGAGAGAGCAAATCGTATGTTGAGATTGCTAAGATCTACGATAAGTACGAATTTTCTATATATCATATTGTTGTGGATTCCGGGTTGAAATCCGGTACCAATAAATAAAAAATGCCAGGAATGAATATATGAAAATAAGGTATTAACGTAATAATACAAACTGGTAAAGCAGGTTAGTAGTTCCGGGATTATGGGTTAGTAGCAAAAAATCTATATACAGTCTTTGGTATTGAAGTATCGATGTATGACTTCTTACTGAGTCTACGTGCTCGCTCACTGTGATTCCTACAACGCTGTTACCTCACCCTCACTCTTCCGGTTACCTACAACCTTTTACTCTGTCACTCTGGAATCGACTCTGTTTTTCGGTCTTGCTCTCGGGTCTTCACGTAACCGTAGTATATGTATATACTGGGTGAGTCCATTTGTGTAAAAACGGGGGAGAACCCCTCAATACATATAACCTTCATTACTGAATATTTTTACAATTGTTCTATATTATTACGAGTTCTTGTTATTAATCACTTGTTGTGCCAAAATTATGAGTGACTCTCCGAAAGAGGACTCCTGTTTATTTCCATAAAATCTACATGCACAGGGAAAACAAAACCACTGACAGAGCATGTTTTCAGCTACAAAACACAAACTTTTGCACATAGTCACCATTATTGATTATTTATTTACAGTAGTGATAAACAGAGGCCTGTTTTGTTTTTTGGGGGGTTTTTTGTTGTTTTTGTTTTTTTTTTAGATTATAATTAGGTATGAAAATGACTCCAATATAGCCAAAGTTTCATTTGTAGACAACGCAATGAAAAAACCGCCTCTTATAAGTTAGCAATTATTACAATCCCCTGTCATCCCTCATCATGTCATGACTATGATCAATATTTTCCTCAGTGATGGCAGTTGGCTCTTCCTTCATCTCGAAAATTCAGCTGCCCACTTTTGCACTGCTAATAAAGCTGGAGCGCCCGACACTAATATAGCAACCAGGTCAGCATGAATGTCGTTGGGAGTTAAACATTTTTTACTTCAGATAACTGATAACACCACGAGGCCAAATTTTGATCATTTTTAAGAGAAGTCGCTACTAGTTACGTTTGAAGTCTTCTTTGAACAGTCAGATGTCAGTTTACCTGAAATTAAACAATGCAGGTATTATTTCAGACATACAAAACAGTTGAACAGTTAAGACAGCTCTATCATATTTTGTAAACACTCCGGGTCTATAAGAATAACTGAAAGTAATGGAAGGTTTCACAGCTCCAGCATCACTTCTTTATAGTCTGCCTTTTTAGTCCATACTCGTATACTTTTATGATAAATACGCCCTATGAAATTCAGCTTATAATTTTGGCTTTTATTAGGAATAATCGCAATAATTCATAATACGGTGTTAGATTTTATTATGCAATTCGACGATTATACTTGATGTTATATATATATATATATATATATATATATATATATATATATATATATATATATATATATATATATATATATATATATATATATTATACAGGTTAACTCAGAGAATTTTCATTTATATATATCTATATCTATCTATCTATCTATATGTTGAAACTTGACAAATGCATGGAATAATAATACAACACAAAATGTACTTAGAACAAAATGTATTGAAACAAGAAAGTGTACACAATATTTACATATAGTCTTTTGTATATTCTTGGGAAGACCGTTCCTGGAGAATGTGTTGACTTAGTCGCAGTCGGCAAAGTCTCTGAATTGAATCTCTTGATTCCTTCCTCGTCTTCCCCGGTACCAACCATATTTATATGGTCGGTACTCCACTATGCAAATTAGGTGGATCCTACCACAACAATATATATATATATATATATATATATATATATATATATATATATATATATGTATGTATGTATGTATATATATTATGCAGTGTTCCATTAGAACATGCAGATACCCACAACGAAACTGTTTCAACGTTATTTTTTATCAGGTATCATCAGGTTTTTATCTAGTAGCATCGTGATTTCCCACCTGATGAAACGTTAAAAAATTAACGCTGAAACAAGATGTACAAATTTGTAGTGAGTGTGTGCATATTCTAATGTAACATTGCATAATAAATACATATTACCCTTCTTTTGTATTGATCTCAGAGAAAAAAATACACAAACATTAAAACCCTATCGGGCCAAAAAGAAACCAATATCGCCACTAAAATCAAATGGGAAATTATTAAAAACTGCAACCCCATACCGTATTAACAGAAAAAATTGTAAATTATGTTTAGTCGAAAAATTAGTAATAATTAGTTGTAAAAACCAAAATAAACTCTTAAACAAAAAAACTGAATTAATGGACAAATGTAGGCATATAAATAAATATTAACTAAGCACTAACTAAATATAAACAAATAAATCTAAATAATATATATATATATATATATATATTTACACCAGTGTATAAAAAGAAAAAATAAATAAATATAAGCAGTAAATTGCTGATACCTGCTGAGGAGTGGACCCAACAATTAGAAATAAGTGACAAATTTTACTCACATTAATCGCATATATATATATATATATATATATATATATATATATATATATATATATATATATATATATATATATATATGAAGAAGATCCCCACACAGCATTAATATCAAAAACTGCAAACTATACTTAGAGGAGAGTCAATTGCTGAAACCTCCTGACGAGTGAATCGAACAATTACAAATAAGTTCATCTACTAAACTTTAGTCGAGTAGTGAGAAAACACCCTTTCATCGCCTACATCTAAGTGACAAATTTTATATTTATATTAATCACACATATATATATATATATATATATATATATATGTATACGGTATATATATATACGGCATATATATGTGTGTGTGTATGCATGTGTGTGTACGCGTGTGTATGCGTCTATATGCGTATGTGAGTCGTTGAATTTATGTTTTAATGTAGATAAATGTATACACATGTGTATTTCAGGCAAATATTCGTCTGTGAATATCTAGTTGAACGTAACTGTTTGTGCCTGAATGCATACACATGCAAATGCGTGAGAAAAAGAGAGAAAGAGCGACAGAATGAGAAGAGAAAATAGAGAAAGAGGAGGTGTAAAGACGGTGGGATCGGTGGCTAAATTCCATGAAATGCCGACCGATTTACTTTATCTCTCAAAGTGTGGGAAGAGATAAAATTGATAAGGCAACAAAATAATGAAAGATAACTTACCACAGACTTTTATTTATGTCCACAGTGGGATTTCTTTTCTTTTTCTTTTCTTTCTTTTTCTTTTCTTTCTTTCTTTTTCTTTTCTTTCTTTTTTTTCTTCTTCGTTATCTTTTTGTCTTTGTCATTTTTGTTTACATCGAGAATTTTTGTCTTTTTTCTTTTATTTTTCTTGAGTATTTTTCTTGAGTTTTTCTTCTTTTTTCGTTTTTTTTTCCTTTTTCTGTAGAATTTTTCATTCTTTTTTCTTTTACTCAAGCTTTTTTCATCGTTTTCCTTTTATTCTTCTCCTGTGTACTTTTTCTAGAGATTTCTTCTTTTTTCATCTTTCTTTCCATTTTTCATTCTATTTTTTTTTTCTTTTACTCGTTAATTTTCTTCCCGCTTTATTCCATTCATCTATTACTTTTCTTTCTTTTTTTATCTTTTACCTTCTTTTTCCTTTTCTTATTAATCATCACCGTCATCATCATCATCAACAACAGCAACTCCTTTTGTTTACATTTTCCACACCCCTTTTTCCTTTCTGTTGCTTCTCCTTTGTCTTTTATATAACTTTCATGTTTTATCTGCCTTTTTCATATCTCATTTTTCTTTTTTCATACATCCTTTTCTTCTTCATCTTCTTCATCTCCTCCTCCTCCTCCTTCTACTTCATCTCCTCCCTTTTCTTCATCTCCTCCTCCTCCTTCTTCTTCGTCTCCTCCTTCTTCATCTTCTTGAATGTACTCCTCTTCTTTCTCTGTGTTAATGTATCTCTTTCTTCCCCTCATCTCATTCTCTATTTCTATTACTTTTTCCTCTTCTTTTTCTTTAGTCTTTTGCCTGTTTTGTATTCCTTGTTTTCGCACTCATTCTTTGTATTTTCCTGATTATTTTTAACTGATTTTACATTTACATGGTTGTTTTCATTCATTCTCTTCTTCCTTTTTTTCCATCACGCTGTCTTTTCATTATTTTTTATTTTTAACTTTATGTTCTCCATTTTCCTCTTCTTTAATAATATTTTGTTTATTCTTTTTCTTTCGCAACAACGGACTTGTCTAAACAAAATATAGACGCAACAAAGCTCTAACGTTACAAGCTAACCACTGGAAAATAATCAACTAAAATAAACCGAACAAAACAAAAAAAGTCATGTTTAACTACATTGAATGCACAAATACTGTAATTGAAAAATCTAATTGCAACATTGTGTCTAATCTCATCGCAGTCAACTGCGAAATTCCCGCCGTTTTCCCAAATTGGCGCGAATCTCGGATATCGGCAACCTGGAATGCGTGCAGTAAAAATGCGGATGCCTCAACGGTGCATTTTGATTGCATATTTTTGCTGTTTTCTTTCTTAATCATTCGCCTACTTGCTTATATTCTTAGAATAAAATACATGTTTAAAATAATTTCTACGTCGTTTTTATTATTGTTACTGCCAAAAGAATTCGATAACGTTAAAGTTGGCCAGCGAAACACTTTGAAGACTAATTTAATCCTAAGAAAAACAGAAACACTGCGTCACTTTTGCGGTTGTGTAGGATGGTCACTGGAAACCGCCATATTTATGTCCATATCTTGCTATTCACACTTCCTTTTTCAGTCCGAAGTTGGCTTCTACAAGATGGTGCATTGTATCTAGTAACTCCGAAGATTGTATGTTTACATAAGTCTCTTTTGATATGTTTATTCGTTATTTTGGTGATTTGTCTAAGAGTAAAGATCTTTTTCCTTTCGCCAGGGTGCGTCAATCTAGTAATAATGAAACTTTTTTTTTTTTTAATTAGTTGTGGCGCTGATTTGATCTAGATTCTTAGAGGATACACCTAAATATTTGACAAGCTTCGTTAAATTCTTTCCATGAGAGGACGGTGATTTTATTTGAGGTTATCTTGAGGTTATTTGAGTTTACAGCAGAATAATAATGCTTATTTTTACTATTAAAAACATTCTCTCCTTTGGGGTTGTGAATTAAATTCTTAGGCTAAGCACTAGTGAGATTGTAACGGTAAAGAGAAAAGAAAAAAAAACAGTGTAACGCTGTGGGCTAGCCGAATGAAACTGGACTCTTGAATCCCATGTCAAAATACCAGGAATATCAAAAGAGAACAACATTCCAAAATATTAAATAAGATAAAAGTTACTACTCAAAATTGTCCAAAGTCATTATATTGGTTTTAAAAAAACATTTTTTAAAAAATATGTAAGAAAAAACATTTTAAAAAGCATTTAAAAAAAAAAAAACATAGGTGAGATAGCGAATATATAAGAAAAAAAAAATAGAGCACCGATGTTGGCGATGTTGGCGAACCAAATGAAACTGGAATCTCGAATTCCATGTTATATTACCTCGAATATCAAAACGCAAAGAAAGAGAACAACATTCACAACTATTAAATGAAATAAAGGTTACCGTTCAAAATTCTCCAAAAATTACAATATTTTAAATTTAGAACCTGGAAAAAGTAAGAAAGTTAAGCGACCGAAATGGCTTAAACCAACGAAGATGGCAATGCTAATCCAAAAACAGATATAAAAATAGAATTTATTTGCTTTCTTTCCAATCGAGTCGATTATTTCGTGGAGGGGGTTCGTCCATGGACCACGGTGTTACCAAATAAGACATGTAAAGATGTCCCTTGACTGTCAACTTAGCAAAAAACAAATACCTGCCGTATTTCAGTGTTAACCGAGGTGCCTCCACGAGATCGCTAAAAAAGAGCATAGCATGATGAAAAAGACGCCAAACTTGACGAAAACAAAAATTTATCGTCTAAATGTTTATGTTATTATTAAGAGGAAAGATCAAAGTATTGGGGGGTATTCTTTACATTTTTTAATCGTTCCTAGCACGTCCGAAATTTTCGTTAAAAATCTTGTTTTTTTTTGAGTCAGCAAAATTGACCGTTTTTTCCATTTTATAAAAGACCTGGAAATCTCATTTTTGAAATTCTTTTAAATATCAATTATCATTTTTTCAAGACATTTTTTCAAGACATTTTTTCAAGACTTATAAGAAAATCAGAAATTATAATGTTTATTTAAAATATTTTGAACCAAGCTTAACTTAGCTTCTGCGCCGAAAAGATGTAATTTGAAAATAAAACAAAGCAGGTCATAAACTTTCGCGTCACTTGACAGGTGATGAATGACATATTGACGGATTCTGTGAGGATAATTTGTTCTACGGAAGGAGAAAACTGAAATAACTTACATTTAAGTGAACAAATTATTTACCTCGTTATTTTTAAGGAAAACTTTCAGCGTCTATTTATTTTTTATTTTTTTGTACTTAGCTTTCACCTTCACGTTTACGATGCTTTATGGAAAATATACTATAAAGAAATTAAAATAAGACTGTTAAGAGTGAGATTAAATTTCATATTTCATAAGAAAGGTATCTAATTATTTTATGAAATTTTATCAGAAGTGTACATAAAATACTATAATTTTATGTACATTTATTACATTTTACTGTGTTATTTGTATTATAAACTGTATTATCGTTGACTGATAAACTCTTACAACATTAAATTTCTTAAATTGCCATATTAGTAAAAAAACGCACACACTTAAATTTTCAAAAAACAAAATAGTTTCCACGTCTGATGATGACCGGAGGAACCGTCGAAAGACCTTATTATACAGTTTATAATTTTAAAAAACAAGGGTCATAGCATTCATCGAGTGATTAGTGGGTTAATGAATCTTTAAAATTTAGTTAGCGAAGGGATTTTGCCATTTCATATCAATAACTTTGCTAATTTACTTTTTGTCTAAATGATTCATTGTAATATATATATATATATATATATATATATATATATATATATATATATATATATATATAATAAATAAAATTAAAACTTCACTTATCTTGTTCCTATTCTGAGTCTAGCAGATATTATTTCTACTCGTCAGCAGACTGGATTGTAAAATTTTACAATCCTTTTGCCTGTCAAGAAAAATATTTTCTTTGCATTGTAGTTTTTTTTCTTCTTCATGATAACGAATATATCGAATTGATTCCAAATATTCAACCTCTACGAAGTAAAAAAAAATGCTTTGTTTCGACGAATGACATCATGATTGATTGATTTTTTTTTACGACTTATCAACCTCTTGCTGGTTATTCAAATCCAGAAAATACTTTTTAGACAAAAACTTTCATTTTGAGATGATAATGATTTGTTGATAGAAATACTAAAAATTAACCCATAGCAGGAAGAGAAGAGGTGGATTCAAACTTTTTCCAATGGTATTTGCCGACTGGAATTGAAATTCGTTCCTCCGATTTCAACTTCGGAGCCGTTATCCATTACACTAGCAGCACATCCAAGATTACAGCATCTGATATTCCCAAGCGGTCACCCATCTAGGTACTGACCAGGCTCGACATTGCTTAATTTCGGTGATCGTACGAGAACCGGTGTTTCAACGTGATATGGCCGGACGCCGAACGACATCAAGTTACGTGTAAGCCTCTGTACGCTTATCATGCAGCAAAGAATTTACTCTTTTTCTTTGATGAAGAACTATCTATCTGTCGTGAACTTGTATACGTCACATGTTTATAACCGGGGAAAATGTGATAGTCGCAAACTGCACAACGTTATCTAAACCAGCCCACTGATTTTCGCTTGCATTAGCAGGTTATCACCTGATTCGAGTCGGAAACTGCTGTCGCTTTCGATGCTATCGAACAGCGTTTCTTTCTCGCCGCTGAGGCTTGTTATCGATGTGTGCCGAAAATCTGGAAAGCTCCTCGGATATAACCTCTACTGTGCGAGAGGTGTCATATTATTGAAAACATTTTCTGAACTCTACAGAATTTTTAAAACAAAAAAAGGATTTTTTTTTACTAAAATATCACCCAATAAAAGAGAGTCACTCAAGTTATAGCGTTTCAGTCGAAATGGTAATGATGAATGGGATATAAATCAAAGAGTGGGTGGTAGAAAGTGATTATTAGAATAAGGGGGATAGATAACGATTGTCCCTTGACAGTTTAAACTTTTAGGAAATCACCCACGATTGAGTCTGTTCCATAAGTGGTAGTTCTTGGGAAAGACCCGTCTGATTGGAACTTCATTCTTACATTTGGAATAAGTGGAAATAAGTATGATTCGACTCCGTGGAAGTAATATAAAAGTGGAACTGGTGGCACAAAAGAATGTGAAGAAAAATTTCATGAACTTCCCATCTTTTTGCTAGCCATACTAAAATGACATTAGTACGAATATAGTAGTAATGTCATCCTAGTAGAAAGAGCACTTATTTTATTTTTTTCTCAACCGAGAGACCATATTTTTACTTTTTAAAAAAGACTGCTTGAATGAAAAGCGTCGTACGTAGAGAAAGAAAAGTTAATCATTATTTCTGTGTGTGAGAGACAGACAGACAGACCGGAATCATCAAAGCGTCGCTTTACAAATCAACCTTATTCCAGCGAAAAGACATCGTCATCCACCCACTAAATAAGGTTCTTATATCTGTCTTCCTGTTAATTAACCTTGATCAGATCTAAGAATAATAAGACAGCCTCTAATCCCGAAATATACCCTAATATAATGTCGAAATAAGATTTGCACTCATTTTCGCAACAGGCCATGGCGCTAGATTCAGGACTGACCTGATGTTACACCCTGCCACTGAATGCATAATCACCCGTCCCCACATCTGTATCTCGTTTTAGGAGCGTGAGAACAGAAAACATGAAAGTTATATAAACAACCTCTCCAGAGATGATTTGGGCAGTTATTTAGACATCGCATACAAGAATATAAGGTCCACGTTTCAGCCCAAGACACAGAACCGTGCTTTCTCATACTGGCTGAGAGTAATTGATGAAGTATTTGTGTGGAATAAAATTTAATGTTAAG